AAAAGATATTCCAAAAAGGAAAACGTCATTCTTCTTTACTTTGAAAAGCCTTTCAAATCAGCAGCAATTATTTTTTACTTCATAGGCACTTTAAGGAATCCGGCCCGCTCAGATTCTTGGGAAAAAAATAAACAGCGATACTACACACCGAAACATTTAATAAGATATATGTATTACATTTACCTCGTAGTTAGCTTTGATGGCAGAGTCGGGGATTTTCCCATTTTCCATTCCCAGGGCTTCTTCAAGGCAACCTGAAAGTGTTAACAAACGTGGAGGGCAATAGAACCCATTACTAAGCCAAGCGCTCTCTTTTTTATATAAAATAAATCTTTTTGGCATGAATACAGAGTATTTGCAGTACTGCAGTACGAGTATTGATTATGATATGGCTACAAAACCGATTTCACTCAGATCTTTCGGTAAAAATTCAGTGCCTTGGGAGAGCTTTCAACTATGACAACCAGTAATTGCCGTATTTTCCTTGAATTTCTGTTCTCACTAAATTTAACTTAACTATAACACTTAAGAGCAGAGTGGCGCATTTTTTCCAACTGATATATTTTTCAGCATTAACCAGTTCATTAGACATTTCGAGCGGTCAGTTGGAGAGTCTAAAATAGCAATCGCTTTTTGTATTAGCTGCTCATTCAGACGAGGTAATTAATAAATTGGTTGAGCTATGTAGTTTTAATACTGCGCACTACAAAAAGGAAGTATCATTTTTAAAATAGCAGAATTAATTAAACCTTTTAATTTTTATTTATTATCTTCTTGATGCATGCAATTCAATTATTTCTACATTCAAGTATCTCTAGTATATATAACGATCAAAATACAGGCTAGTTGTGAGGGTAATGTCAAGGACTATGCAAGCAGATTGGTGATGAAATATTGAGACGTTTTTTTTTTTATTTTTCATGCATACCTTCATCCGCATATCCTGGAGAAGAAAAAAAAGAACGGCGTTACAATAAGAAAGGGACCTACACCTTAATAGCAATGAGACTAAAGAAGTACAAATCAATACAAGAAATCCTTGATTTTCTGGAGTAGGGGGATATTTTCCTAATGTAATGAATTGGTAATGAAGTTTCTAACTTATACTAAGAGATGCCTTTTACCCTGATTTTAACCTTTTTTAATTTAATATTATCACCCTCTCCTAAAAATGTATGATAAATTTTTATAGTTATGTTATAAATATATGTATCAGTGAACTGTTTATGTGAACAAAAAAGATAAATACAAAACTGCAATGAGGCGGAATAAAACAAATGAAATACAAACTATTAGTGTGATCAAGTCTCTTCAGGATTAAAGTACAAACACTACCTGAAAACACGGCTGTTAGTAATGTGTACAAGTTATATTTACTGGCACTATTGTAAACATTCAGTTGACTCTCAATTGCATGCGTAAAGTAATATTTAAGTAATAGGAAACATGTACCGTGTTTCTATCGAGTTATAAAAACACGAGTGGAAGTTTGGGAAAACGAGAAATGCTGGGGGAACACGAGCCTTAGGCGAGTGTTTCCAAAGCTTTTTCGAGATCTCCCAAACTTTCACGAGTGTTTCTATAACTCGATAGAAACACCGAGAACATGTTTTCTATTTCTTTTAGAAAACACCGCGACGAAAAAGAGGAAAACAACCTGTTAACTTTGATTATCAAAGTGTAAATTCTCTTTGCTCCCGCAATCATCACGTCAACAGCTCGTGCTAGTTATGTGTTTCTATCGAGTTATAGAAACACGATTTTTAACCAATCAGCGCGCGTATTTTCTTAGGACTGTTTTCTATATGCAAATTAAAAAATGTTGGAAACAAAAGGTCTTCATAACTCCAGAGCGATAGCCAAGCGGAGCCCCATACTCATATAAGAAAGAAAAGAAAACCCATGAGTTGATTTGTCATAGTTGTCATGGCTAGCGGTATTGCTCGTGGGCGCGTGCACACGACGGCGACGACGACGGAGTCGCGCAACATGACGGCCATACTCCAAATAATAGGTTGACAGAGACATGCAGCCCTGGTTTACCGTGTACTTCTTTGAAATTGACAGTGTTATGATCAGTTGACAACTGTGAAAACAAGGTATCCGCAGACCAGTATTATAACTTTTTCATCTGTGCAAATGTTTTTTGCTGCTTTGTTTTGTGTATATGGTGATTATTAAAACTCAAAACAGAGGGCCAAACAATATACAGAAAACTTCACCGCAAAGTTACAAAACTCAAATCAAAATTCTATCTTTTCATGGGTTGGCTTAATCGGGCTCTGAACAACCCAACCCAGAAGCTATGCTTTTAGGCTGGAAGAGCTGATATGGTCGTGTATGTATAAAATAAAGATTACTAACTTAATCTAATTAAAATAGACCCAAAAGAAAATCAACAGTGGTTACAAACATTACCAATTGATAACGCATGGTCTTAAAAGCTTAATGTATTAACTTGACGTTTAAATTCGTATGTTACAACATATATCTTCAGAAGTG